AGATCTTCCCCTCCAAGGTTGGTTCAATCTTCCCCTCCAAGGTTGGTCCAAGACTGAGAAGTGACTGTTGAAGTCGGTCAGCTTCTCCAGGAGGTCGCCTCCCGCGCTCCCCCTCCCAGCGACCTCCCAACCTCCGGTGCCCCAGCGACCTCCCGGAACTCGTTTCGGGCTGGAAGGTCGATGGGGTGAGTGCCATGACCTCCGGGTCCAGGAAGATGCCTTCCTAGCGACACCACGGGTAGGTCCACGGGTAGGTCCACGGGTAGGGCGCACACCCCGAGGAGCGACCGGTTTGACGCACGCGGGCGCCCGGAGCGAGGTCGGAGTGCAGGTCTTAACGCTGGACCTCACGTTCCAACAAGGACGGTCGGACGCTGCGCGAACCGTTGGGAGGTAGCGAAGCGGGGAGGGCGCCCATGGCGGCGCACTCCACTCCCATGGAAGTGCAAAAGAGGCCCCTTGAATTGGGTTTTTTACTTCCATGAGTTGGTGGGGGGAGAGTAGGTTGAGCCATGGGTTCCAAAGAGCCAAGGGCTCAGGTTCGTGTGGAACCTGCGCATGTAGGAAAAAAACAGTTCCAACATCTTCCAAAGATCCTATGCTAAGACCTTGACCTTTGTACCCATAATACTAGGTGATGGTTTCGGATATGTTTATTTTCAACCCAACACTTGGGGACGATTAAGGACCTTCTGACTCATTTTTTCCAAGTGGGTTGAAAACACCAACATCAAGATAAATTTGTTTATCATTTCCCCTAGGGCTCCAGTCGTACCTCCTCAGAAGGTCTGACTGGACCCTCCAAAACCACCCACCCCCAAACACCTCCTTAGAAGGTGCGACAGGAGCCCTAGCTAGGGTTTATCATTTCAGGGATCCATTTGATCCACCTTGCTTCTGACTGGGAGCTCGGACTCGCCGTTCTTCCAGCCCCGCCGGAGCTTCTTCTCGGCACCGGCGTCCGACGGGTGTGGTCGCTTCCAGGACACCTGGGCGTGGCGTTACCCGCGCAGCTGCTGCTCCGGCAGCTGCGCTCCTTGACCCTGCGTTTGGGCGACCCGGAGGCGCGAGCTCCATTCCTTCGCATCGACCGAGCGGGAATTTGCATACTGCAATTAGACGTTTGGTGTCGTTTCAATTGTTGTATCCCACTGGGTCAACGCACCAGTTTAACCCGTCCTTTGGACTTGCCGGTATGAGGAAGTATATCGATCCCATGAGGTCGATCAAGGATGAGTAGGACATGTGATGCTCCCTGCAGTGAACGCGTCATCTCTTGCCAGTGCATCCCTTGAAGGTGTTGCCTTGCTCGGAAGAGGTGGTTTTGCCATGGAAATTGCCAGTTTGCCTTGCCAGTGATATGTTGGAATTGTGGAAGATATGTTTAGAGTCTTTGGAGTCACTGTGATTGGCAATTCGTTCCCATTGGCAGGATTTCACGTTTGCCCACGCAGCTTGGACAAGATGGTCAATGGGCCCACAAGGTGCAACTACCTCCTGTTCAAGAATGTTCAAGACAAATAATGCCCCACTCAGAACTTCTCATCATCAACGCTCTGGTCCCCACGACACGCAGCCAATTGTCCTTTCCAGAATGATGAATACAACTCGCATGTTCTTCAACCGGATCCCTGCATAGTTCCTTGTACATCTTGTACTTTGTTGTTGAGTTTACCCTACACCACTACAACGTGCCTAGAGCCTGAATGATCTGTATCTTGGACCACCAAGCGCGCCCGGTCGTTTCCTTGGGTATATCCTATACCTGTAACAGTCACCAAGCAAGAACATAACTATTTTAGAGAAAGGCCTGCAACCAAGCCCCATCGTCCACTGGTAGTAGGATACACCCGATCATTTCCTATCAACAGAGTTTCATTGACCTTATATAAGACAGTAACCTCGCATACCCAACTAGGATAGTCGATCAGTCGGGCTCTGAAAAAAGCCTCTGAGTTGGTATCAACAGAGGTCATGTCATCTCTCGAGCGGAGCGAAACCCGTGTGCACCACCGCCCGGCAGGCCCAAGCCTTCGCCTGTGACCTGCTCAGCTGCGTGGAGTCTCCGAAGCTTTGGGAACTGCGACTCAGTGCGCAACTCACTGCGCAGCTGCTCGGCTGAACCAAAAAACAGGCCCAGAATATCCACGTATAAAGTTGTTTGCATGTTGCACTTACCCCATTTATGACCCCATATGACCCCAATGTAGGTAGCTCTTCCATACATGGAGTGGTTTGGGAGGGGGGGAAACGACAAAGCCTCCAGTCTGATGTGATGAAAAATGGTGTTCCGCATCTTCGTGGCCCTGGGCACCCACGGCTTCTTGCTTCCTGAACTTCCCACCCCTATACCATATCCTATACCCTCCAAGGACCTCCTCAGAAGGTATTTGGATTTCAAATTTCTCCACCCCAGTCCCACCTTCGAAACGAAGGTATTTGGAGCCTTTTCGGGCCTCATTCGTCCACCCCTCAGACCGTCTGACGCGCGACGACGTCGTCCCGGCGCCGCGAGCGAGGCTGCTGAATGCCGCGAGCATGGCCCTGCTGCCCACGGAGCAGCCGCTGCGGCGTTTGGCCCTGACGGCCTTACCGGATGCACGGCTCGGCGCAGGTGCGGCGGGGCCAAAGGGGGTAAGGCCGACAGGTGAAACATGAAGCACGGGAAGGGGGCTGGAAGATGCCCTACCTGGATGAAGAATGATGAAGATCAGCATTTCGGGGCTGGAATGTTAGGGTCGTAGGGCCAGATACTCTGCGCGATTGATGATCAGCTTTGGCTGTGGTTCTTGCGTGGTGGAAATTGCTAGCAGGCTCTGAAACAGCGGTTAGATTGATGTTTATAAAATCAGGCATCGGGAGAACACGTACAAACTTCACCATCCTCGATCACCCATATGTCTCTGAAACTGGATGTTATCGGCCAGTTGTCTATATGGCTGGTATCAGGTATGCAACCAACATATCAGTTGCCTATATTATGGCTATAACCAACAGGTATAGGCTGGTGTAATAATATATATGTTTGCTTATACCTGTTGGCTGGTCGTGTTTTGCCTATACCCGAGATAACTGGTCGCGCGAGCGGACTGACTCGCGCACCGACCGACCGACCTCGACTACCTCAGGCACCGTGGCAGCTGTGAGGGCTCTTTTGGACTCAGCACCGCGGGTGGCGGACCTGGCGATCTCTGTGGAGGATGCCTTTGGAGGCGACAGCCGTTGGTTCGAAAGGTGTGGGCCACTGGAGACGCCGGTGCTACAGACCATGATGGCACTGAACTTGGAGAGCTTGAGTCTTGGGAGCAGGCGCAGAAACATGGGTTGGATCATTACCCCAGATAGTTTCCTTGAACCCCCCCAACCTTTACTTTGCACACTGGGCCCATGAAGCAAATCCATGAGAAGCTACCAGGGCTCGCAAGTTGGCTGTTACATCGGCCTGGATATGTGCATGCATGTTGCGTAGCCCTTTTGCTAGTCGCTTTCGCTTTTGACCTGAGACAGCCTGAACTTCCAATTGGCCACACCTGCGATATCTCCGCCCCCTCTCAAAGATCACAGAGATATGGACAAGTCCATTTGCTGAATCCAATTGAGGTGTTCGAATTCGGACTAGCCTGGTGGTCCATGTCTATTCTGATTTTCCTGTAGTCTAGCCTTATACTAGAGTGCTTTTTCCATTGAGGACCTTTGACTTCCTCTCTGATGAGCTCTTGCTCGCGATCAGCTCCTCCTCCGATCGTGCGCTGTGGCCCCAATTGCGGAGGGCCAAGCTGTCGGGTTGCAAACGAGTGCTGGAAGACCCAGATGGCATGCTGGGAGTGCTGCTGAGCAAGCTTGGAGAAGAGCTGGAAGAGTTCCCAGTCGCGATGAAGAGCACATGAATTGTTTTGAAGTGTTGTTCTTCTGTGTAAAGTGTTGTGTGCTGCGTGTGTGTGTTGCAAGATGCTGTAGTTCGGAATAGTTTCAGATACAAATTGTTCTTATTTTTATGAGTGGCGGGGGTAAGTTCTTGATTCGTTAAAGCAAAGGTTGGTGACCAAGCAGACCGGCCGAAGACTGTAACAACGAGCCGCTGCGGATTTGGAGGAAGCCTAGGGATCAAAGGCGCCTTAAGCTCCCATGGCCATTTTCGGGAGAAAGCACCTGCCAGGACTCCCTGGTTTGGGATGGTTAATAGATACCCCTGAACCTCTAAGGGGCGTTTTAGGCATCTCGGTGGTTCGGGGAACCCGGGGTTTAGGTTCGCTTTGCTCATCGACCTGGAAGTTCCAGTGCGTAGCTTCTCCGCGGGGATCTTGCACCAGCGCTTGGGCAGCCTGCCCAACTGGTGGCAGGAGCGAGCCAACTTGCGGAGCTTGGAATTGCGGCTCGGCTCGCAGCAACAGCCAGCGAGGGAGCCATGTTTTGCCGATTTGGGCAGAAGAAATAGAAGATGGTCCTCATAATTAGATAGTGGATAGGATAGTGGCACGGGTTCCAATACAGGGGATCTACTTTTCTATCTCCGTTTCGATCTATTTGGGGGTCTATGTGCTTGCTATAGACCCTTCCAAGACCCATCTGAAGGGGGACAACAGTTTGGCTAGTCAGGTTGTGGGGGATGGCAGCATATGGCAGCAAAATCGTGTCATTTCATTGTAAACGCACACCTGGGTTTTCTACTTGGAGGCTTATGGGATAGTTCATTCAGTTGATCGAGGATACACTCAGTATGGTGCACGTTGTTTTTTCGCCTTTGCTGTGTCCTTCTCACACTGCATGACCTGGTGCCGCTCGTGCCTGCCAGCCGATTCCAAGGAACTGGCACGCCTTCGACGATGAAGGCATCGCATCATTGGTGGAGGGTTGCCCTCAGCTGGAAGTGCTTTTGTTGGACCGGGCCGAGTCGCCTGGTATGGCCTGGTGTCCGCGAAAACACACACGTTTGCTCAGCTCTGTTTGTGTCAGTCAGAGGACGAAGGTGGCTGGCCTTGGGGTATGAGCAGTGTGAAGAGCAGTGTGAAGAGCATATGTGTTTGTGTTGGACATCCAAACATGTTCAATGGGTATTGTTCAGTTGGCCAGTAGTGAGCTGATCTACATACTGTAAAACACCTGTTCTTGGAGAGCTCCTGGGACAGGAAAACCATTCCAGCAAGTGTTCCCATTTCTCCAAGTGAATGTTCTACTTGGCGAGAGTTCAGCTCGTCTAGATTGTCTACCACGGGAACCTCCAACTATACACCAACCGGACCAACAGAGGTTGAAAGACCCTATAGGCTATCCCATAGGTACTCCAGTAGGGTCCTAATATATGGTCACTTAACCTTTGTTGGGATCTCTTTGAGCAAATCTACCACACATTGATAGTCCTAAAGTGGATCCCAGTGGTCTAATACTGTTGGGTATGCTTCGGCAGCGGCCTTCTATAGGTCAGTCACTACGAGGAGTGAATAGGCCCATTAATAGTGCATACCCAGTCGGTAATAACCTGCAAAGCCTCTTGTGGGGAGTGGTGGCACCTCACTAAACAAGAACAGGTGGAGTTCATTTGGTGAACCCTTTTTTTTCGGATCTCCGGCTGAGTCAGAGTGCGGCATGAAGAGTGGTTTGATTTGTCCTTTGAATTGTACAAACTTGGATCCTATAGGGAGTCTATATGTACATGATTGTACATTCTGATCTCATTCCGCTAAAATGTGTGTCTAGTAACTAGTACCTGCAGCGCCTCTTCCAAGTTTGTCCATGACAACAGGGGCCTTGCCTCTACACGCTGTACCGGTACGCTCAGCACCGCCGGTACTCGAGGTACTGGACGGACAACACGATGTCACGCCTCTTGGAGTCGCTACCGCACTTGCACCGCTTGCGCCTGCGCCAGTCCTCCATGATGTCGGACCGCGCGCTCTACGCGGCTCGGTAACGGCAACGACCACCGTGTGCGGCGTGCGTGTGTAAGGTGTGGGAGGCAACGGAGCGAAGAGAAAGATATAGCTACCTGGACCCGACTGACCCAGTACCTTAGAAAAGTGGACATGACCCCATCAAAACAACAATTATATACCTGGACCCTCCAAGGGTGTCCAATGGACTACCTCACACTACCTATAGGCTTCCATTGGGCACCCCTTGGAGGGTCCTGGTATACTTGTACCCAATTTCCCAGGTGCGAACTGAGACTCCAGGTATGTACCAGCACCTTCCGACCTCGGGGTCACCTGGCTGGAAGCTGGAAAAACTACATATGGATCTCCAGACATGACACCCCGACAGGAAGGTCCAGGTAATATATACATATTGTATATATATATATAATATATATATATATATATGATATATGACTCCATGACTCCATGTATTCATAAGTTGTATGATTTAATTATAATGTATCATGATGGTGTTCTTTTTGGGAGCCGACAGAGGTAGCCAGTGATCTGAAGAAGGACCCAGAAAACCTGGGGTACCGGTTCCTGGGATCGTTGAACAGTTCTGACCCACCTCTGTTGGAGCGCTCTTCCACCTTCCCAGTGACCTTCCCTTGAGCCGCTGGCCTGGTCGGTACAAACCCGGACTCCTGGACCTTCGTCACTGGGAAGGTTCTGGTTTTGGTGCCCAAACGCACGTGGGGTGTTGGTTTGAAGGGCTAAGACCGAGAATGCCTTCACCTGGGCATCACCTCGGTCTTTCGAAGCTTTTTCGCCCCTCCCAATCCCTGCCATTCTTGGTGCGCAAAAAACGCCTTCAGCATCCTTCAGCAACATCTGCTTCGACCTCCGCCTTCTTAGAGACCTTCGTCCTCAGGAACTGCTGCAAACACCGCAACGGCTGGTCTTGGAGATTGAGCCGTCCTATGCCATGTCATCGTGCCTTTGCGACGCCTCCGGCCTCGGACGCGGCAGAAAAGGGGGCATGTTCCCGACCAAACTCGATCCCCTGGTTTAGTTCATGTTTTTAGCTATAGGAGTGTGATCGAGGTCACAAACAGGGGCTCCAGTTCAAGGTCTTATGGGTTTAGCTTCAGTGATGAGGATACAACACAAGTGCTTCGGTTTTCTGGATTTGGGGGTGATGCCTCCCGGTTTGGCATATCCCTGCGGAGCAAACTGGTCGCTTGTCGTTGGACAAGGTCTTGTACCGCGAGGATTGAACCCAAAAGAGTCCACTGCTGTTTCCTGAGCTTGTCGGTCTTAAGAAGATCCGGCGGACGCCGACGAGGAACGGCACCAGGGCTTGCCGGTCGCTGGAGACGCATTTGCACGCTTTCATCACACGATTCGCGGTGGGGGCAGGAAATAGCAGTGGGAGGCCATTGATCGCTTATAATGATGTGGGAGTTGTGTTTTTCCGGCCAAAGACTCAAGGTATGTGTTGGATCAGCTGAACCCTTCCTTCCACAGCACCAGCAACCTGGTGGAAGTGCAGCTGCTGAAACCGCAGCTGGACGAGGCCAGCATCCGAGAAAGAGGAAGAAACGCGGACATCAGCCGTGGCTGGCCCAATCACTTCCAGATGCTCCATGTACAGCATGGGGTCCGGTCCTTTGGGTTTTTTTTGCATGAAATGTATGTGAATGTAGGTCAAATTGACCAGTACGGAGCGGTTTGGAACTGGTCAATGACCAGTACGGGTTGGAAAGGTGATGGCGACACGGATGCCCAAGCTGCTTTGGCAAGTTGAGGGTGACCCGTTTTTGTTTACCAACATTGCTCAGACACGGATGTGGTGGATTTCGCACTGCTTTGCAAGTGGCATCTGTGAATGATGAAGCCAGCAGATTTGTGGACTTGTAACTTGTAACATCTTGTAACTGGATTTATTGAAGACATTTCAGCGCAGAATCTTCCACCAAGTGGCGCCCTTCTCAGCCCAAATCGCAGCCCAAATCTGCCAGGAGGAGACTTTGTGGCCAGATTTGAGCTTCAACTTCGGGCGCTGCGCCAGTCACGTGTACATAGGTCGCTGATGAGCCACTCTGGTCCTCTGGTCCGCGCCACACCGTGTCGTGCTCTTGCATGTCGTCCTCACCGGACCGGTGGTTGAAGACGAGCATGGGCCTTGAAAACACGGATGCCTTCTTTTTCGGATGGGTTCCAAAGCTGGACCAGCTCGTGCAAGAAAGGATCGTGATGAGCGCGGTGAAGGAGAGGGGGTAGGCGCATGTAGGCGCCTACCCAGCTCCGGGGCTGCTTCGAGACGAGGCAGTGCGCCTCAGCCGAGCTCTTAGGGTTTTTACTGTGTTCTGAAAGTGGATGACACATGATGACACTGGCCCATTTGCACTCTTGGTCCTGTACACAAACCCAGCCCAGTGCGTCACGGGGTTTTTCCAGCACCTTGAGGAACACCTCGTGTGGTCTGGTCTTGTTCCTCGCTCCAGAACCCCAGGTCTTCAGCGGTCATCAACCACATGGCGAGAGCCCCACCGTGGTGCGGCATACGCGGAGTGGTCTGCTGGTGGTCACCGCCGATACTTCGCAGCTGGGCGCGGCGATGACGAGCTGGGCGGTGGCGGGAGGCTTCCAAAACCGCTGGCGAGACGGAGGTTTTTGAAGGCCATATGCAGGTAGGCGACTACAAACTGTGGAAGACTGGAAGGCTATAAGCCCTAGGGCTCCAAGTACCTCCTCAGAAGGTATTTGGAGCCCTAGGCTATAAGATCCACACCCCCTGAAAGAACCATGGGAGCAGCATGTTTCGGCCCTGGAGGACCATGATCCTCTACAAGTGGAGCCTGCTCCAGCTTCCATGATTGTGGCAGAGGGAGGGTATCAATGAACTTGGCGCCCCTTATGGGCCAGGCTGACGCTTGCTAACTTGCGGCCGGTATGGGGACTAAGGGGACTTGTTGATGTGCCAGGAACCTTCATCTTCATCGCGCATGCGAGTCCCTCCATGCACTCCCGGCCGGAATCCATTGGGTCATTGTGGAGTGCGTTCACCAGGTTTTTGGTCTTTGAGAACTCCCAGACCATCCATGTCTGAAATAGTCGCCGTGTATGAAAACTCCCTGAAAATGACAATTGTTTGATCCCATGTAGGTACTGTAACTATTCCAGTCCTATGGATGGTTTGGGAATGGCCATGCACTTTGATGAGGAAGTTCTGGGGGTTTTCGGTCCTTCAACTGCAATGAGACATTTTGGGGGGTCAAGATGAGCAAGTATTGACATCCTTGGAACAGGTAGAATCAGGTAGAACACGGTAGAACAAACTGTTTAATTATATAAAATATTGCTGGAACAGGATGGAACAGGAACATTTGAAAAGTTGACATATGCTCGGAATTCCTTCTTGGAGTTCCCGAATCTACCTTGAGTCTCCAAAGACCTTTTTTTTCTGCGTTTTTGTTTTTGGTCTAATATTTTTGCGTTTTTGTTCGAAAAACGCGTTTTTAGAGATGAGGACTCAAAAAAAGGTGCAGAGTGAATCTTCATCCGGACGCGTCCGGCACGGACGCTTAAAGACGCCTTTTGGACGCAAAAAGACGCGTTTTGGACGCCAAAAAAAGGTCTCAGGACACTGTCTAAGGAGGATCTGACAGGGCACAAACAAAAAAGGAACATTTCATGAAATATGCAAAAAAGAGTGCTTTCTTTCAAAAACCTCTTTTTCTTGGAAAGGCAAATTTAAAAGGGTCATTGGAGACTCAAGGTACTGTGTACAGTGTTGATCATTCCTACCTACCGTCCAAAGAGGGATCGTTTCTCTTAAGCAGAGTAATTATTTAACATTGTATTAGTATTTTATAGTGATTTGTCCCTGCCACATCAAGCACATTGACATATATACCAGAACCTTCAAAGTGACCTCTTTGGAGTCTATAAGTGACCTCTTGAAAAAGGGACTCAGTGACCTCTTTTTTGGGGGGATCTCCAATGGTCAAAAGGTCACTTTGAAGGTCCTGGTATAGACCTGACCAGTGTTTTTCGAGGCGCCCATGGTCAGTGCCCATGGTCACCAGGTGCCGGACGTGTCTCCTGAGGTATTCGAACATGTCCGTGCGGAGCCCAGCGTTGGATCGGGCACCACCCGTGCTGGCTGAGGTTTTGGGATCAGCCTTGACTCTTTGAGTTCGTTAAAGGTGATAGCACAAAAACCGGTAGAATCAAAACGTTTCGAATCCATGTCAAACACCAGAATGTCCCACCAAAAGCTCCAAACATAGATGTGTACTGCCGCCTCCCAGTGAAACCTAGTTGGGCGCAACGTGAAACAGCGAAACAACCCTACGAACATCATTGCCGCTGTTCTCGTGGCACACATGTCCCAAATTATTGGGGGGCCGAGAATTCTCAGGAAAATGCTCTGGGACACCCCACGAATTAGTCGCTGAAACAGACCCTAGGGCCCTAGGGGATCCAAGTACCTTCTCAGAAGATCTCAAAAGGTGATTGGAGACACTAATTTGTAGGTTTGGAGGGTCCAGCCGTACCGAACCTGAGAAGGTTACGACTGGATCCCTACAAAAGATGGAGTTCATTGGCTCCACTTTCGGTTTGGGAGTCCCAGTTCGCTTCACTCAACTGAGAGACTCAAGCTCACCTTAACTCCTTTCACGTTGTAATGCGTGCTGAGAAAGACGCTCCTTGGCGAGGCGCTGAAGCTTTTCAACCAGTCGAACAACCGCGGCGAGGTGGTCACCAACGTGCCGCTTGGGGCAGCATGGTTCGCCGGGGGCCACCACGCCGGATGGGCACGGGGTCGGCGGATGTGGTCGTCCAAGCGAAGCGCTTGGGGGGGCGTTGTTGCGCCAAGGCGACTCCGAGGGGGACGAGTGCAGCTGGAGGCGGAGTGGGTTCGGGTTTCGGAGGATTTCGGAGGATTTGGAAATCCGGCAATTCGGGAATCAGAGGGAATCTACGTGTTGGGTTGGTGGTATTTCAAATCAACTCGCACATGGACGTGCTGCATTCGTCACTGCCCTGGGCATCCATTGTGTGACCTCGAGGCCACATTCGCCGACCTTTGAGGATTGCACCAAAAGCTGAACATAGACCCCTTGACATGAAGACTTGAATGAAACTACCTGGACCATCCTGTGTGGGTGTCCTGTTTGGAGATCCCTAAGTAGTGCAGGGTGGTGCAGCCAGGACACCCAGACAGGATGGTCCTGGTAGTAGAGCACAGTGGTCTACCTCGAGGTCCATGGTCCACGAGTGGAACGAAACTCTTCAGTCCGACTGCTCTCGATGATCCGGGTCGCTCGCACCATTTTCGAGGTCGATGGAGGGGTCGATGACTTCGCGGCGCTGCTCACGGCGGTTTTGGGGGTGATCTGGTGAGAACATCTCAGACGCTCCCTGTGTGGGACGATCATACAGGTTTGCCAATCAGGACAGGGGTGTCTTATTTTTGAAAACCTCAATGTAGGCATATCACTGTACTACATTCCATAGATGGAGTGTTTGGGTTCGGGCTCTTGAAGTCCTTCTTTGCCAAAGCCCCGGTGCAACGGGGTGTCTGACCCGTGGGTGAATTTTGGGAACCGTTAATCGCAGGTTCCTCTATAATTCCCTATGGATCCACATACCTTTTCAGAAGGTCATTGGACCCTCCTGGCACCAACATAAGTAGTCTCCAATCACCTTCTGACAAGGTATGTGGATCCATAGGGATTAGAGCGCACTAACTTGATTGATGTCCGGTGCCGAACTCGGAGCGTTTAGGCCCCAAGACATCTAACTCTACATCTTCGTACGTTTTGCAGAACCAATGGGGGTGGCCAGGACTTTCGGAAACTCTGAGGAACTTCGACTATGAATTAACAGATGCACCCCCAATATGGCACCCCGGTCCAATCTTAAGCCTCCAGCTTGCCTTTGCTCGACTAGCTTGCGCTCCTGAATGACGAGCGCTCGTAGATACAGGTCTGACCGAAGCCCTCCGGGGCTTTTGCTCGACTGGCACCGCTGGTCAGGGCATTTTGCGGGACGGCTCGAAGCACCGCTGCGAGCTCCATGTGGACCCTGCAGAGGCGCAGATCCTGCCGGCGGGCCGCGCGGCACCGGCGTGAAAGAGTTGCACTAGCTGTACTCTTGAAATCGATTCGATTTCGGGTCGCATATTAAGGGTTAGAATAGGATAGGATTCGTTTTACTTCTTAGACGTCTAGACGTTTGACACACTACATCGCCTCCCAGATGTTGGGACGTCGGACGAAACTCATCCTCCAAGATGATTGGGACAGAAACCTAATACCCTAGGGCTCCTGTCCCATATCCTCAGGTTCGGTGGTTAAACGGAGGTGGGCCAGGAGCCCTAGGGATATACAATCCTTTCCACCTCTTGGGCGCGGCCCTCATCACTTTAAATCGGGGAGTCCAAGTAGAACCCGCAAAGAGGGCAACCTGGGAGCTGCAAAACGAAGCAGGTATCCTATAGGACAAGTAATTGTTACACTGTTACACTGATTCCTTTGTTATACACTGTTACACTCGTATGAGTGTACCTCGAGATGAAAAGTGGTGTCCCTTTTCCCATTTGGTCCGTCCGATAGCTCTTTGGTCATACCGGTTGCTCTTCGATAGCAACTATATAAAGAGGTCGAAGTGAAGAGTTGCCATGTGCCATGTGGTTTGACGTAGACAGGCAGGGCCTACGGAACGTTTGTTCATGTGGCAAACGGTGCGTGTGGCAAACGGGGACACATGTGTGTCGCCCCTGAGCAGAAAGATTGGTGGTGATTCTAGTGGGTGAGCTTCGGAGCGTTTCAGTACCAGGACCTTCCAAGAGGTGCCTATAAATAGCCTCTTAAGAGGTTAAGGGGTGTCCAAAAACCACCTGTTGGAAGGTCCTGCTAGTGGAAAGTGATGTGAGAGAGGCGTTGTGTGATGAACTGCAGTTCACATCATTTCACTCACAAAAGGTCCTTGCAGGACCTCAGCAGTGCTTGCAGGGGTATCCAAGTATGGTTAAAGAGGTAATTCATATGTATTATTGCAATATTCCAAGAGACAAGGTTTGACATTCGGATGTTGAAGATGTTGTTGTTGTTGTTGTTGTTGTTGTTGTTGTTGTTGTTGTTGTTGATGAACATGTAGTGCTCCTGTTCTATTTTTTTGGGGACACCAGTTTGACTAAGATGTCAAAACTGTTTACTTTTCTTTTTTGCTCAGCT